GGAGTTGTAGGAGTGGGTCTTGGAGTTGGATGTGGAGTTGCAAAAGTGGACCTTCGACTTGGAGTTGCAGAAGTGGACATTTGAATTGGATGTGGAGTTGAACAAGTGGATCCTGGATTTGGATTCAAATTTGTTGAAGTGGGTCTTAGAGTTGGAATTAGAGCTGGAGCTGGAATTGGATTGGATCTTGGAGTTAGAATTGGAGCTGGAATTAGAATTAGAGCTGGAGTTGGAGTTAGAATTGGAGTTGGAGTTGAAGATCCAGGAACCGGATCACCTGTTGCTGGAATTTTTTTGTTGGGCACCCTTTTTTTATGCCCACTAACATAGCAGATTGAATAGTTTTTCACCTGTTTTACTCTTGATATTGTGTGTGTGCTTGATATTTGCCTTTCTATTGCATTTTTTCTCCTCTTAGTATATGACCTACCAGGTAAACTTTTACTCTGTGGGGGTTAAGGCTTCATGTAGTCACTTTGTGTCTACAACGAGCTATCATTCAAAGGATGAATAATATATTTATAGCATTTGAGATAAGTTGCCTTACTTTAACAACTAGCTACATAGTCCTCTGAGTTCAATTTGATGGATGAAATTGCAGCCACTCCATGTACACAAGGTATACCAGTCAACCACCATCTCCTTCATCCACAAGTCCTTCTGATAAGGTCAATTTCATACCTAAAATTACATAATACCACCTTAAATTGTTGATACCCACAAGGGTACACTGCCTAAAATCTGTACATAAACATTAAACAGGTAAGAACTCATGAACAAATGTATATTTATGCTAAATAACAAGTAAATACAAACATTCCTACCTTTGTTTGTCCTTCAAATATGCTATTTTCTTCCTAATGGTTGGGCATATAGTTAAATCCCACAACCTACTATAATGCTCTTTCAGAGTGCCTTCTGTCTCAGATAATGCAAACCTTTTTGCATTTATACATTGTCCAATGCTAACTATGATGTTGTATGTGTATGAGAATTTGAGCTTTCATCTTCCTCACACTAAGCTTGGGGTTATCCAGAAGTACATTGAAATATTGTTTCCATATCCACTTGCAAGTCACTAAGCCTATTTTAAAAACTCTACCATAGTTACGAGTTGATTTTAGTGACTTAATCTAAAAAGTCCTTTCCTCTCGCATCCAAGAATCCCATAAGCTAAAAGGACATGTAGGTTCTTTACCTTTGCAACACTTCAATAGAAGTCTGTTTTTATCATTCTTTTCATACCACAAATCATAACCATCCTTAAGAGCATAGTTGGTAAGACAATGTTTGAGTTCACCAGGATTGGTGAATTTCATACCTAACACAGGAGCCATTTGATCCCATTGTTGCTCAGAATTGTGCACAGGGTATACTGATGTGTGTGAAACGAACTAGTTTTAATCCTACTAACTTAAACACAAAGACAAACACACGAAAGGCAGTGTACCTATCGATTAGCAGTTTAGTTCAGGTAAGTAGGGTATCGAACACAGGGAACGGTAAACAATTAAAATAGATGCCAATATTATCTACATAAAACAAGTACTAGAAAGGGGGTTTTCTCTAGTTTTGCTAGACTAGAAACTTACACAATTAACTAAAACTTAAACTAAGAAACTAAGAGCTAAGCAAATAAAAATCAACTAAATTCAATAATTAAGGAGACTTCTGTTTAGGTTCGAATCATTTATTCCTATGGTTGATTTTATGACAAGTACAATGGATTAATTGGCATTGGCTACCGATAAGTGTGATTAGGTTCACGTTCGCTATTACTAATCCTTAGAAAACGTATCAATTCAAGCAGTGATCAAGTGATTAAACTAATAGATTTACTAGTTTATTGATTCAGGTTAAGTAAGACTTGTAATAAATCAAATATGCTAATTCAATTAACTCCTTGTTGATGGTTCGTCACACAAGCTCACACATTAACTTACCCATTTTCTAGTTAACCCTAGTTTCACGTTCGTTATTCCTAGGCATATAACTATGTGTTCACATAAATGATATGAGATTAGCAATTAAGTGATGTTCATACAACTTAATTACTAATTTATTAACAGAAAATAGTTATTGTTAACATATAAGGTTCTTTAACAAGCTTAACAAAACAATATTACCAAATAAAATTAATCCTAACCATAAAATATACCATAATCATAAAATCATCTATCCTAAATAGAAGATAATAGTTTTAACTCATGATTACAGTAAAAATAAGATCAAAAACAAAATCAAACAACTCAAACATAGTTCAAATTAAAGAATAAGGAAGAATGGACTTGAATTTGCCTTGATTCTTCTCAAAATTGGATCTAGGGTTGATTCTCTGGCTTCCAACACCTTAACAGGTCTTCTAATCGTGGCTTTACCCCCAAGGGTTTCTCTCTATGCCAGAGTATCGATTTGAAAGTCCCTTTATATAGATATTCAAAAAACAGAGGTGACTCGTCAAGTCCAGTGTCACACCCCCAAACCAGAATGGCGGAAACATTCGGGGGTGGATGACTTCACGTAGTATCACAACAATTGAATATTGTAAAGAAAGTAACACAACCATCATATATATAAAATGAAAACGTATATTGTTGCGTTATACATGTTATCAAAAGAATATTACAATATGATGATAAATGTTCAATAATAAAAACATCCTTTGTGTTCCTTCTCCCAAAAGCTGGTAGTTACCTGTATCACTGATTCCCTGAGAAATACAAGTGGTTTTGAAAAGTGTCAACAATTAAGTTGGTGAGTTCATGAGTGTTTCGAGTTGAAAAGTATATCCGTTTTGGTAGTAAATTGGTAAACGAGGTTTTTAGAAAGTCCAATATTTTCTTGTAAGATGATTCAAAAGTTTCCAAAGTTGGAATGTGTGAGTATCTTTTATACTCAAATGATAAAAACAACTTTGTATGAAAAATAATGTAGAAAACTGCAATGCACATATGAATCTCGTAAATCAATCTTGTTTTATACTTTTTATGTGAGTTTTATAACCATACTATTGACACTGACGGCCTGTAACAACATTCTTTAGGTGTTGCAGTGTTATGACATTTGTCACCCCAGACCTGCCGGTCTAACTATAGCTAGTAGTTTAGGTGCGGGATTGTCAATCCCGTATAGATCTATACACAAGTATCATGCTCTCCCTCCAAGAGATTATGGTATATAATACAGGACTTGAAATGCATACAAAAATGTACGTTGAAGTTTGAATATCTCACATTGCCTAGTATAAGTAGATTTACAATGAAATGACCTTACTTCTTTTGAAAGTGTTTTGTTTTTCAAGATGTATATGTAAAATGTAGGACTGACTTGTTAACTATACCCATTATAGTTTTTCAGATAGTATGTTCCATTTACTAGAAATAACTTAGTGACATAATCGCTCTTGTATACATAAGATGTTTGTATCGATATTCGAAGATAGAAATTTCATTTATGTTTATAAAACGATACTTTAACGTGTAATGTACTTGTATTCCCCCCCTAAAACATGAAAAAGAATTGAAAAGTAGGGCTATGAACTCACTTGTTAAGTTTGAAGAGAGGGACTAGAGTTAAGTAGAACTTCGATCGCGGATAGTTGCGTCGTCGGGCTCTTCGGGGATCTCTGCAACGTAAATCTTTCGTCGGGGGCTCGAGTGCAGAAACCGAGGCGAGGGGAGGGTCTCTGGAGCTTAGAAGTATGAGAGAATGACTGAGGGATTGTGATTTGTGTGCAAAAACTCGAGCTTATGCCTTTTATTTATAGGGATGGAAACCCTCGTACGCGGCGCGTACCTCCGACGTACGCGGGGCGTACTTCGGTTACGCGGGGCGTAACAATGCGTCATGGCTTACGACTCCTGGCTAGCTAAGCGTAGCTTGGGCAGGCCGATGGGACTCGACTCTGGGTTTGGTACGCGGGGCGTACTCCCAGAGAACGCGGGGCGTAATCCGTCCTGTCCTCTTCTAAATTCCGTAACTTTCGCGTACGAGCTCCGTTTTTCGTGTTCTTTATATCCACTCGTAGGTGAGATTATGCTCTACAACTTTCATTTAGATTGCATTAGCTAATTTACACTCGATCTTAAATTCGAGTTTTTAGCCCTCTACTACTGTTACGAAACTTCGAAAATTCGTAACTTCTTCATACGAGGTCCAATTTGGGCGATCTTTTTATGCACGCTCACCTTTTAATGAGATCTACGATTTATGTTTAGATACTTAAGGCTAAAATGCACATTATTGAGATTTTACTTTTTACGTCAAATAATGTTTTAACGGCGTGTCGTAAATATACGAGTGGTTATAATTTCTTCAATATAACCCGGTTTTGAGCGTTCTTTATGTTTTCGGAAACCTTGACACGTTAATTAGTATTTGATGCATCCCAACTTAGATATTTGAATACTTTATTTTCAAGGTTAATTTAGTTGTATTTGACTTTTGAGCGTTACAATGCTTTTGGAAAATATAGGGTTGCCACATCCAGTGACCTACTTAGCGAGTCTGTCACTTAAAACCCGTGTACAGCAAGTCAGCGTGTCCAGAATTGCAAAAATTCGACGTAACTCGTCGAGTTTATGGCATACTCATCGAGTCTATTTGGAATCATCATTTTCTCAAAACATGAAAGTCGTCCGAAATTGTGTATAGTTTTCAGAACATTTTGAATCTTGTCAATCGGAGTTACAGTTCATGAGATATGGCCAAAACACTAACGAGGGGTCAAGCTGTCCAGCAACATCCTTCTTTCTTCAAAATCCAAGATCCAATCTTCCAATCGCTAGTTCCATTTCCTTTTCCACCCGAGCATGTCATTGTTGCTGAAAAATGAAATTATAAACTAATTAAGCACCTTTTGTACATTAAATGAGACAAAAACAACATAAAATATTAAGATAACGCATGAAGTTTATAACTAAATATGCCCATATCATATACAGAAGGTAGTTGCTCAACATTAGGATCTTCTTCCTCTTCATCATTTAGGAAACGTTTTTTTAAAACCTGTCTTTATTTTGAATACTTGCTCTTTCCCTTTTCATAGAAAACTCCTCATCATCCACCTCGTGTTCCCAACCCTCTTTATCTATCACATCATCTTCATCTTCGTTGGAGTTGGTATCATCTTCAACTTTAAGCTCTTCTATTTCAATCCAGTCAAAAAGGGGTTCATGCATATGGTCCACATACACAGTTACTTTCTTTTTCTCATGAAGATACTCAAGAAATTTATTATAATCACAATCATTTTGCAATGTGGCCAATCCTTGACACAATGTTTGGCTGTCTGGACAATAGTATACATCTTTGCACATCCTTCTAGTAATCAACTCCAGGTGAGCAATGAATTCAGAATACCCCTTGTCCGTGAAATCAACGTACCTTATCTCCTTTTTATCTAGATCAAAATACATAAATGGTCTCGGGAAGAAGTTCCTGTTGTACTGGACTTCAACGACCAATGTATCCTCTTCAACCATCTGATCGTGGGTTGCTCAAAGAAAGAACAATGGGGACGATTGAGTGAGAGTGAAGAGATAGAGATGGTAGATTCATCTTGCCCTAATTTATGGAGACCAAATATACACGTAACACTTAAATGCCACATAACCATCCACGTAATGGCCTAATAACCACATAACACTCGTATATACCATGTATGCACTATGTAATTGGTTAAACTGGAAGAAACCGGTAAAAAGGACTATTTCTAAATGGTTATAACAACCTTACTGGTGTGATACATACAAAAAAATACATTGGGCACCTAATATGGAAAAACAGGAAACCTTATTACCTTCCTAAGTCATTAAACCTTAAAAATATTGTCACACTCCTAAACTGGAATGGCAAAAACGTTCAGGGGCAGAGGACGTTATATACAATATCATAACAATTGCATAATAGTAATCAAAGTACAACAACCATGTATTGAAAATGTATAAGTTTTTACATATGTGTTCAAATCATTTTATATTGACATGAAAAATGAAATACAAAAGCAAAAGACATGATTCTATGAAGCTTCGTCTTCTCAAAACCTTTGGATATCTATTTATTGGTTTCCTGAGAATACAAGTAGTTTTGAAATGAGTGTCAACAATTAAGCTGGTGAGTTCATAAGTATGTAACTGAAATCTGTTTTCTATTCCTTGATAATGTAAGTATGTTTTTCCTAGAAAATCCTATAGTTTCTGTTATAGTATGTTGTAAGCAATACGTGAGAATGTTATTGTACTCTGAAGTTGTAAACGTAGTTTCGTTCACTTAAAACCATGAAAAGTATGTTCTCTCTGTACTGAAGTAGAAATCTGTAATTGTACCTGTTATGAAGACCGTGTATGTGTAATCGTTTAGTTTTTACTAACTGTACTTGTAAAATATTGGATTATAGTTTTATTATTAAAATAAAACTATGTGTACTTAATCATACACTAATCATTTTGTCCACTATCAAATTGTGAGTTATTATAACCATGTTTGATGACCTAAGATGGCCTGAACATGACGTTCTTCAGGCATCGCAATCGGTATGACATTTGTCACCACAGACCTACTGGCCTAGCTGTTGTAAGTAGCTCTGGTGTGGGATTGTTAGTCTCGTATAGATCTATACACAAGTGTCACGCTCTCCCTACAAGAGACTCTAGTTATAATTTCAAGACTTGGTTGGTACTTAGATAAGTACTTGAAGTAGGTCTCACAAATTCTATATTGATGATTACATGTAGAATGATGAAAAGTTACTTTGTAGTGAATAAAGTGCAAGTATATCTCATAAAACATTCTTAATGTAGTTTATATGTTTGTTTTTCGTAATGTATTCTGAATATGAAAAGTAGTGCATACTGCCTATGATTCATAAACTATACCTATTATAGTTTATATGTTTGTTTCTGTACTGTAATCTGAACTTTGAAAGCAATGTGTAAGTTTCATAAACTATACCTATTATAGTTTATATGTTTGTGTTTTATAGTAATGAAAAATCTGTGTTTAAATTGTATAACCTGTAATATATTTGCTCATTGAAATTCAATATTTACTTCCAAATGGTACTAAAAATGTTTACAAAAATCATAATTTTGTTTAACATGTTTGAAATAATTTTATATTTATATAAATATAATATTTATATAATTATGATTAAACAGACAGTCGAATAAATAATTCTACCCCAAGCCCACAACCAAAAAAGGAACAGGAAATGGAGTCAAATTAGTAACTCTAAGCCTATTGAATCGTAATGATCTTGGGACTAGTTAGTGTACTATAAGGTATTTGGTTCTTGGCTAGTTACGTATCTCTGACTTCAGCCTTACACATCTCCCACTTTAGCCCAACACAGAGGAGATATGCACTTACGACCATAGAGAGCTTCAAATGGTGCAACTTTGATGCTAGTGTGATAGCAATCGTTGTAGGAGAATTCGACTAGTGGTAAATGAGTATGCCAAGCTTTACCAAAATCTATCACATAAGCCCAAAACATGTCTTCCAGCGTTTGTATGGTTCTCTCGCTTTGCCCATCAGTCTAAGGATAGTACATTGTACTCATGTCATTGGTTCCCAAGGACTTTTGTAGTGATTGCCAAAACCGCAAGGTAAACTTGTTGGATTAGTGTCTAAGTCCATAACTATTTTGGTATGTACTTGACCCAATTATGAGCATGGTCCTTTTGGGTTGCCTTCACCATAGCAATATGTAGGATGAATTAAGGAGAAAAAGGTTTAATTATGATTTATTAATATATTATAAGAATAATATATTAAAGGAGAAATCATATTGTTTAATTAATATTAGTCAAGAATTAATTAAGCATTAATTTTGTGGCTAAAAGAGATTAATTAAACTTAAGGGACATAATGTGTAATTATAAGATAATTACATAGATGGGCTTATGGACTCCATAGAAGGTGGAGTGGACGAATTCTATGGGGAAACCCATTAGAAACCATCCAAGGCGTCTAAACAAGGAGTCCATGGGCTGCTTAGGGCTTAAGCAGTCAAATTAGGGTTTCCTAGCTTGATAACCCTAATAGCCTAAGTATATAAGGAGCCCTTAGGCACCAAAGACGTGGCTAACACTTCCTTTAGGGTTTCCAGCTGTTTTTGGTGCCTCCCTTCTCTTCCCTCTTCATTCTTGTTGCTTAGTGGTGTTTGTGACTACATTAGAGGTGCAACACTTGAGGCACTAAGCTTTCTAAAGCCAATGATTGATTGTTATTGCTATATAACAATAAAAGGTTAGATATAAACCCTATTTTATGTTAATATGATTAACTGTATGCTAGATTTAGGGTTTATGGCTTTGGATAACCAGTTGCATGTTCATTAGACAAACTAGATCCAAAGCTATTAGGGTTTGCATGTACACCATAGGATTGATGTATTGCTAAAAAAGCCATCAAAATCTACTATCTCAGTCAGAGATAATATATATTGGCACACCATGCAATCGTACTATCTCTTTAATGTACGTCCTTGTTAACTTCTCCATTTTATCGGTTTCTTTTATTGACAAGAAGTGTTTGGATTTGGTTAATATGTCGATGATCACCCAAATGGTATCATGACAACCCGTTGCATGGTTAACTTGGTTATGAAATTCATTTTAATCCGCTCCCACTTCCACTCAGGTATTTCTGGCTGTTGAAGTAAACCTGAGGGATTTTGATTTTGTACTTTGACTTTGGCGCAAGTTAGACACTTTCCCACATGAGTAGCAATTTCATTTTTCATGTTTGGCCACCAATATAGTTTCTTGAGGTCCAATTACATCTTGTCTGAACCCGGGTGAATGAAGTATCGAGTTTTATGGGCTTCATTCATGACAACATCTCTGTAGCCACCAAACTTTGTTGTCCAGATCCGATTCATGAGATAATGAACTCCGATACCCTTGATTTCCAAGTTTTTTTCCATTCCTCTTAATGCTTCATCCGTCACGTTCTCAGGTGTTAAGGCTTCCAGCTGAGCCTCTTTGATCTATGTGGATAGATGGAAATGGATAGTCATGGTCAGAGACTTTACTCGGCGGCTCGAATACTCTTTCCGACGGAGGGCATTTGCTACCACATTGGATTTTTTGGGATGATAGTGAATCTCACATTTGTAATCATTGAGTAGCTCTAACCATCATCGTTGCCTCATGTTAAGGTCCTTCTGATCAAAGATGTGCTGGAAGCTTTTGTGATCAGTAAAGACTATGCATTTCGTACCGACTGGTAATGCCTCCAGATATTCAAAGCGAAAACCACTGCTCCCAGTTTGAGATCATGCGTGGTATAATTGACCTCGTGGTTCTTAAGCTGTCTCGAGGCATAGGATATGACCTTTCCTCGTTGCATAAGAACGCATCATAGCCCTTGCTTGGACACATTACAGTAAACTACAAAATCTTTCGTCCCTTCTGGGAGGGATAAGATCGGTGTGCTACATAGGGATTGCTTTAGTGTCTGGAAAGCAGTTTCTTGTTTCTCCTCCTAGTTGAATGTCACACCTTTCTGGGTTAAGGTGGTGAGTGGCTTTGCGATCTTTGAGAAATTTTGAATGAATCTCCTATAGTAGCCAACAAGACCTAGAAATTAACGAATTTATGTTGGGGTTCATGGAGGGATCGACATGTGTCCCTTCCTTGCTGACTACATGACCTAGGAATTCCACCCTTTGAAACCAGAATTCACATTTTGAGAACTTCACATACAATTTCTCCCCCCTTAAGGTTTCCAAGACTTGTCGTAAGTGTTGACTGTGTTTTTCCTTAATTTGGGAATAGACTAGTATATCGTCAATGAAAACTATAATGAATTTGTCTAAGTAAGGTCGATACACCCGATTCATCAGGTCCATGAAAACTACATGTACATTTGTTAGACCAAAGGTTATCACTACGAATTCATAGTACCTGTAGCGAGTTCTAAAAGTAGTCTTTGGAATATCAGCCTCTTGGACTCATAACTGATGGTATCCTGATCTCAGGTTAATCTTGGAGAAGAGACTAGCTCCTTGAAGTTGATCAAAAAGGTCGTCGATTCGAGGTAAAAGGTATCGGTTTTTTTATAGCGAGTTTATTTAATTCTCGGTAGTCTATACACATGAGAAATGATCCATCCTTCTTCTTCACGAATAAGACCGGTGCTCCCCAGGGTGAGAAGCTTGGTCTTATGAAGCCTTTACTAAGAAGTTCGTTCAATTGGATAGATAGTTCCTGCATCTCTGATGCTGCAAGATGATATGGTGATTTAGCTACTGGGGTAGCTCCGGGTATCAACTCGATTTGGAATTTGACTTGGCGTTCAGGAGGAATTCCTGAGAAATCGTCAGGGAATACATCTGGGAAATCACAGAGTTCAGGGATATCTTTAATGTTTCTTACTTCTTGTTTCTTATCAACTATGTGAGCTAAGAAGGCATAGTAATCTTTGCAAATATACTTTTGGACCTTGACGCAAGAAATGATTTGGAGATTTGCACTAG